GTACTGAGTGAGGATTTGCCGACACGTACTATACATTCAATACAATTAGTGATTGGTTTTCATTATAAAATTAGTTTTTTCAAAATTGAACTATTATTTAATGAATACCTGAGTATATGATTGTCGAAAGCGTTGTCACAAACGTGTGATTGAATTCCGCATACAATCACTAGAAATGCTATGAATATTGCATTCATTTTTTGTTTTTATAACAAACGAATCGCTAATAAGTTTTACTTTTAAACACTTTTACTTTCAAATGCAAAATCTATTTGAATATAAAATTTGAATTAGAAATACGTTATCAAATTTAAGTCAAATTTTAAAATAAATGTTTTGTGTTATAAATTGTAATTTATAACTAACCAACAATATAGTCAGTTTAATCAGAATTTTATGCAATTTTAATAACAATTGTTATAGAATCTATAATATAGATATTGTGCGAGACATGAAAATTACAATTAGTATCAATTACATAAGTCAGTAAAATTAAGTTTTGATACGTAAATTAAAGTAAAATAATTTTTTAGTTATAAATTTATTCATAAATAGTAATCAAATTTTGAAAAATAAAACAAACAAAATATATAGAAAATAAAATAATCAAAATTAGAAAAATTGAAACCATGTTATAATTTGGTTATTTCTCTTTTTGTTGTACTTTGACTTTCGCTTTCAGAAGACGATTGTTTTGCTTTCAAAGCGTCGAGTTTTGATCTAATCATCTCTTTTCGTAACGCTTTCTCTTCTTCCGGATCTGATAGCAAACAAAACCAAATGACAAAAACACAGATCACGACAAACACTATGAAAACGACCACAAATACGGCGACAGCTAATTATTAGATAAATTATTAGATTAATAAATAATATTTTTAGTAATTACTAGTGGTTTACAACCAATTATAATATAATTCTTATAATCTTTAGTAGGCGTGGTTTGTGACGAGAATGTGAATTGTGTTGTGTCGGGAGATTCAGTGGTCACAGGAGTCGTGGGTTTAGGTGTGATTGGGTTAGGAATCGGAGGCTCTTTGACACCAATTACGTCATATTTTTTTATGTCTTCACTAAACTTTTGCCACGAATTCAATTCATTAAACGATAAATTTTTGTAGTAATTTTCGGGGCATTTAAAAAAGCGTTGAATTAGTTTTTGCCTTAGGATTCCGTACTCTTTCCTAAAGAGATAATTGTTTTTGACATAAATCTGATCCCCGTTTTCATCGGTAAAACCCGCGTCCAAATTGTCGGGAAGTTCGCTACTATTGACTAGAGTTTCGGTTTGTAATACAAACTGTAAAATGTTTGACTCCTTTTTATATAATCTTCTTTTGTCGCCCTTTTAAACAAAACATAATTAATTTGTAATAAAATTCATTTAATGTAATAATTGATTAAATAAAAACACAAACTTTATATAATTCACATGAACTGAAATTGCGATTACAATGAATGGCATCCAAAGGGTATTCACTATTAGGGAAAAGAGTCGAGAGTTGTTTCCATTGTTTTGATTCATTCTTGTTGTCCGAAAAAGTGGTGAATTTGTCTCCTTTTACGACAAAAATCTCTGATTTTATCGAATCGACAAAAACTGTGTCAATGTTTCGCAAATCCGGTATTAAATATTCAATTTTGTCAATTTTTGGATGTGTTTGAGTTGAATCCCATTTCCAGTAATAATTGCCATTAAATATATAGAAATGTGTTTCATTTATGGGAATCATTGCATCGATCGCTGCATTTAAACAGATATCCGACGGACAGCCAAACCAAACACTATTTGACTAGAAATACAATCATTAAATAGAGCTAAACTTTCTAACAAACAAATACCCTATAAATTGATTGTCTTTTATAATTAATCCTTTGGTCATTGAATACA